ATCTTTAAAAAACTGTCATTCATGTATCTACTTAATATGTTTAATCTTTCCTGTAGCTCCTTGAACATATGAGTAGTTATAACTGTTTTAATATCTTTGTTTATTAATTTATCATCTTTACTATTTTTGGGTACTTTTCAGTAGAATGATTTCTCTCCTCATTATAGATTACATTTTCATGCTTCTTTGAATGCTTGGTAATTTTTTATTGGATTCCAGACATTGTGAGTTTTACCTTATTTGGTGCTGGTTATTTTAGTATTTTAGCAAATATTCTTCAGCTTCATTCTAGGATGTGGTTAACTTATTGAGAGGCAGTTTCATCTTTTCTGGTCTTGCTTTATACTTTGTTACATGCAACTAGGGAAGCATTTAGCCTTGAGTTAATTTTGCTCTGCTATCCAGGCCAAACCCTTCTAAGTACTATAACAGATGTACCTAGAATGAAGTTTTTTTTTGCTTTGACTGGTGGGAACAGGAGCTGTTTCTGGCTGTGTGGACTAGGGGACTGTTTCTTCTAAAACTTTCACATTGTTCTTTCCTATGCTCTGGGTAATTTCCTTTTACAAACACACTGATCTCTACTCAGCTGAAGACTAGAAGGGAACTCTACAGATCTCTGGAGTCCCTTCTCTGTGCAGCTATCTCCTCTCTGGTACTTTGCTCTCTGAACTGTGGCTACCTTGGTTGGCTTCTTTGGATGCCCAATTCAGAGAGACTGCCAGGCTCTTCCTGAATTAACCTTCTAGTGCTGTGCCCTGGAAACTCCAGGCAGTAAGCTGGAACAGTCCAAGGGTTTACCTTGTTTGTCTCCTTTCTCTCAAGGATCACTGTTCTACGTTGCCTACTATCTAATGTTTAAAAACTGTTGTTTTCTATGTTTTGTCTGACTTTTTTTTCATTGGTTCCAGGCAAGAGTGTAAATTTGTTCCTTGTTACTTCATCTTGTTTAGAAGCAGGAATCTTTTACAAAATTCACTGTATACTTGCCATGGTTTAAAAAAAGCCCAATTCTCCGAGTTTCCTAGTGTACTGTTTCTTTAAAAATACTAGTTAATATATTGTAGTTTATAAATTTATTAAAATTTTTGATTATATTACTTTTGTTGTATAAATGTGAAAACTTGAAAGCCTAAAGATTAAAAGAAACATAAGAGACCTATCAGTTAATCAGAAGGTATAGATTTAGCTGGATTCCATTCAAATCAAACAGTTTAAAAAACAAAATAAAAATAATAGCAAAATTTTGTAAGACAATCAGGGATATGTGAACATTGATTGGCTATATTTTGCGTCTAGGGATTTATTGTTAAAACTTTTTAGGTGTCAGTTGATTATGTTGTGGTTATGTTTTTTAAAAAATCATTTTTTGAGATGTATGCAAAATATTTATATTTGAAATTCTGTGATATTTGGGATTTGCTTCAAAATAATTTGGGCGGAGTTACAAATAAATGAGATTAGCAGTGTGTTAAATAATTGATGAAATAGGTTGATGATCCATTTGGTTCATTGCACTAGGTGTGAAAACATTTGTAATAAAAAATTTTTAAGAGTTAATTTTTATTTTTTAATTTGGTTGTTATGTTATTTCCAGATACAGCAAGTTCTCCTTTATTTTCACTTTTTGTGTCTGTAAGCTTTATTTAATCAATAGCCACTAATTTGTCTTCCCTCAATTTTGTGTATTTATGATGAACAAAGAAAAGCTCGATTAAAAAAATGGAAATCAGTTTCTAAGTCCAAAGAAGCAGCTATCGTTTTCTTCTGTTATCTTTTTCACCTAAGAAAGAATTTGATTATCCGGGTCCCTGAGCATTCTTGAGAGCTTTCTGAATCACTACGATACATGATTATAGACTGATTAGGGAGTCTTGGTTCTTTAAAAATGGGTGGTTCTCATCCATAATATTATAATTCGTGTCACTGTATTTGCCCAGATAGCCCTTCCTGGGCACCTGGGCTGTGTTAGCACTTGCAGCAGCACCTGCAGCTCAGCTTAATGAAGGTGTTAATTATCCCACTTCAAGGTTGGTCTCCCTAGAGTGTTGTTGCTTTTTGTTTCATATCACTTTAGACTTGCTTTAATGTAAATTAAGGTGGGTTTAACAAAAGGAAATATTGTCCATTAGGGAATTTTGATACCCTAGTTTATTATTTTTTTAATATCTTTTAAAAAAAATTTTTTTTTTTTATATATCTTTATTGATTTCAGAGAGAGGGCAGCAGAGGGAGAGAGAGATAGAAACACCAATGATGAGAGAGTCATTGGGGATTGAGCCCGCAACCTGGGCATGTGCCCTGACCGGGAATCGAACCCTGATTGCCTGGATCCTAGGTTGACGCTCAACCGCTGAGCCACGCCCGGCTGGGCTGTCTTTTTAATATCTTGTCAGTATTTAATGCTTAGTGTGCTTTAGGCACTGTTCTAAATGCTTGGGATATATCAGGGAAAACACAGATTCCCACTTTATGAAGCTTACACTTTATTTAGGAAAGATAGAAATAAACAATATATATAATATGTAAAGTGTATGATATGGTAGAAGGTGGAAAAAAGAAATGTGAAAATGGAATGAGAGGGGTTGGAAGTATTGGAAGGGGAGTGCAGCATGTTGCGGTGCAGTTTTAAATAGGTCTTGTCAAGCACAGATACTGGAGCAGATGGGGAACTTGGCCTTTGGTAGCCTGGTAGAGAGTACAGTGAGGATGAAGGCCCTGAGACAGGAGCCCCCATGGCATGTTTGAGTTTTCTCTAGAGGCTGGAGTAAAATTAGCCGGCAGGCAACAGGAATAAGAGATGAGGTGAGGGGCAGAAAGGATCAGATCACTTGGGAGAGTTTGTAGATTCTTGTGAAAATGCCAGTTTTTACAGTAGAGTTCTCATGAGAGGTTTTGCAGTTTTTGAGAAGAGGAATGTCATTATCTGACGTGTTTTACAAGGATGTCAGTGGCTGGTGAGAATATACTGGGCTGGGGAGCAGAGCAAGACAAGTATGAAAATAGTGAGGCCTTTTCAACAATCCAGATAACAGGTGGTGGTGGCTCAGACCAAGGTGTCAGCAGTGGAGGTGGTGAGAAGTGGTCATATTTTGGATATGTTGTAAAGGCAGTGTCAAGTTAGGATTTTTCTAACTTGATTGATGTGAAACTTTTCTAAAAGCTTTCTCCTTGGAGAGTCAGAAGACGGAGAGGTTTGAATTGGTACTGCATTTAATATTCTGGAAAGTCATTTTTTGACATGTTTTGGGGCATTTCTAGTATAGTTTTTTTTTCCTTCCAAAAGCTTATGTATCTTTACAGAATCTTTAAGTGATTTCAAAAGCAGTGATTCTATTTTGTGTGATGATGAACTATTAGACAAGTAATTTTTGGTCATAATTTAAGGTCTGATATTCAGTATTCTTATTTATTAGATGGCGTCCAAATATTTACTTCTTATGAATATTGTAAAATGCCTAAATTACTTAAAAACTTGGATAGCAGACAGTGGCAAGCTGATTTTTTTTAGAATCAAACCTATGAGTGATTAAGAAGTGGAAGATAAAACTAAGAATATTTTGTAAAATGCCACTGATTCTAGATACTGGGATTGAACCCAAAATGATCCATGGGCCTGCTGAGAATTCAGCTCCAAACTCCTGTCCTGATTGTTTAGTTTACTATTTCAGCATCTCTTTTACACCTATGCATGAAGAGAAGTCATTTCTTATATCAAATTCTGTTTCTAGAAGAAGGAAGTGCTAAAAACGCCATCAAGACAGTTCAGCTCACATCCAAGTTCCAACTCCAGCTGTTCTTCCGCTTGAACTTTATGTGGCAGCTTTCCTTTGCAGTTCCTTTGCAGTGTTTTTCATTTGATACAAGAATAGGAGAAACTGTTTTGTACTTTCAGAGTCCTTTAGAATTTTTTTAAAATGGAAGTTTGAAGAGGTAAAGTTGTTTATTCTTGTTGGCCCTCTTTCTCTCCCCTTTTTTCAATGCCCCCTCCATCCCCACCTTTATGTACATTGGAAAACAGTTATTGAGCTTAACCGTTTAGTTTTTCATTGGAACCATTTGGATATGTTTCTGAGTGTCTACTTAGATTTTGTTTTGCCAGTCTGTCACTGATCTCCTTATTAACAATCGAATCTAAAGACTTCAATATGTATTGCTTTGAGTTTTTAGTGTTGGAATGATTAGAAGAATAGAAACAAAAAATAGGGAACAGGAAACTAATGAGTAGGCACTTGTTCAAGGAATCCATTACTAGCTGGCTGAGATCTTTAAGAAGTTGGCTATGGAAGGAGATGAAGTGACTGATTATAATGGTAACTGCTTGCTATTATGTGTTAGAAAATGGGGTGGTTAATTATCCTGCATGCTATTTGAAACGTTTGAAAATAAGTCTTTTGTAGGTGGCTAACAGTATTCTTTTATTTACTTTGTTATGTTAAAATATGCAGTTTGGGGCTTAAAAGTTACTTTGGGATATCACAGTACTTACCACAGTATAAATGATTCTGAGGGTCAGGTATATATTTTTGTTGCATCAAGGCTTAGAAATGTAAGCACATTTCATTGTTTTGGGGCATTTCTAGATGTTCCCTCTCATTTTGAGTTATGCCAGGTATTATATTAGGTAAGAATAACCTATCTGAAGACATTCACTTAACCAGATTAAATAGATTTTGTGATGTAAACTGATAACTGTGTTGGTCCAAGATAAATTTTAGCAGTTTCCTTTGGGAAATCAGCTTTTTACTTGTTATGTCGGATTTTAGTTATTAGTTATTGGAAATGAAATGGTAGCATTTCTAATTGTAAAATTTCTAACTTGGGAAAAATTTTAAAGAATTTTTTTGGCATATAGCCATATTATTATTTTGAAGAAATCTAGAATTATATCTTTATGCAAAGCTTTTTATTTTTTTCAATTGCCTTACTATATTACTTATTGAATATGTAGGAGAAGATGACACTGGGAAGTTTTAAAAGAATAATTTTTCTGTTGTTAGCTTTTTAGTTGGAGAAGGAGCCTACAGATGGGCAGTAGATCATGGAATACCCTCTTGCCCTCCTAACATCATGACCACAAGTGAGTAAAAACTTTTCAAAATTAAGCTATATTAGCATATATACCTGAGAGTGTTACATTGCTTTTGACCCAGATAGTACTGATATTTAAGGAAGAAAGCTGATATGTTGAAATATTTCTAGTTAAAAGACACATAGAAAGTTATTTGCTTTTAAGCCATGTTTATATTCCTGAGCTTGCTTTCTTTTTTATTTTTTTAATAATTTTTTTGATTTTTAGAGAGAAAGGAAGGGAGAGGGAGAGAGCAAAAGAAACATCCATGTGAGAGCAGGACATCATTCGGCCGCCTCCTGCACGCCCCCTCCCTGGAACTGAGCCCGCAACCCTGGCATGTGTCCTGTCTGGGAATTGAACCAGCAACCTTTTGGTGCATGGGACAACCCCCAACCAACTGAGCCACACCGGCCAGGGCCCTGCATTGCTTTCTCATGCTTTTATTGATAAAGGATTCCTTTTAGGTTGCATAAAATAATTACTAACAATAAAACCATAATACCATCCCCTCAGAGAGAGAGAAGAAAACATAGATCATTATTTAACTGTTCCTGAGCTGATGAAGGCCTTTCTACCTACCAAATGCAAGAGAAGGAAAAACAAAAGTTACTTTGTGGGAGTTAAGACTGAAAAAACACCTATCATAAATATGACAAAAGGATACATATTCTTAATCTATGAAAAGGTTTACCAAATTAAAAACCACACAAATACTTGTAATACCCCAAAAGAAAAATGGTCAAAAGTCATAAGTAGGTAATATAACTAGTAGGGAAATTTATATTAAAGTGAGTACATGTTAACTTTGTACTGTCTTTGTGAAAGAGTTAAAAATATTATATTATTACTGATAGGTGTATGGTAAATTGAACATCACATATCATAGGTACAAGTGTAAATTAGCAGAAATTTTGGAGGATAGCTAAGTAGTATAGATCAAGAGCCTTAAACTTATTCTGCTTCTAGGAGCTCGTCATTAAAGATACAAAGATTTATATAGAAGGTTGCTCCATGAGCATTAAGAATATAAAACAATTTGAAAATATCTTATGTCCATCACAAAGGAATGTAAGTAAATAAATTATCATATATTCTTATGTTCTTAAGTAATTAGAAATTGATGTCGAGACTAATGTCTGATAGTGATTAAAACTAATGGCTGAAAAAAGTGGAAAATGAGTTGTAAATATGTAAATATGTGTCTTTAAAAAATTACAGGTACATATTTATGTATAAAAAGACAAATACTTAAAACATATACTACTAGTTTTTTTAGTTAAAATTTTGTTTTTGATCAATGTAATCTATGAATATAATTTAAATAATCAAATGATAAAATGAGGAATCCTTAACTCCAAGGAAACCAAGTAGTATAAAAAAGAAGTTATTGTGTATCATAGCAAGTATATAATAAGGATCAGCTCTTAATAATATTATATTCAAAATGAATATTCATGTAACTGAAAGTTTAATATGGGGAAGCTGGAGGGAAGAGAAATGTGTGTGTGGCAGGGAAGCAGGGAGTAGGAGAGCTCTAATTCTCATGGTCCCCGTCCCTCATTTTGCCTTAAAATCTTCCCAATGGAACTTATTGTAGAGTTTGTATATCAAGCAAACAAATTAGGTCATCTCCTAGTTCCATTTTGTTTTTATTTTATTTTTAAATCCTTACCCGAGGATATGTTTTTATTGATTTTAGAGAGAGAGGGAGAGGGGAAAGAGGGAGAAACATTGATGTGAGAGAGAAACATCCATCAGTCTCCTCCTGTGTGTGCCCCGACTGGGATCAGACCTAGAACCCTGGCATGTGCCTGACCAGTAATCAAACCCACAACTCTTCTGTGCATGGGACAGTGCTCCAACCAACTGAGCCGCACTGGCCAGGGCAAATTTGTTTTTCTTGGAGACACCCCATCTGGCACCTTCAAATCTAGAGAAAAACCTTCCCAGCTCTGGCAGGGCAATAGCCAGTATTCTGGTTTAGATCAAGGGAAGGAACTGGAGGACTCACCTCGTCTTTTTCAGACTTTTTCGTAAAACTCAGTTTTAAGTAAGGCTCCTGATACCTGCCCCCATGGTGTACTCGATGTCCTCTAATTTGGGGCCCATCTGGTTCAGCCTCTCCAGAGTTACCCTCATGTTTCCTGCTAGCATGAGGATGGGATTTAGGCATCTGCATGTTCCTGAATGACAGCTTCTGCCAGTTTCCCCGTTTTTAGTTTCAACCTGGCTTTCAGAGATAACAGGTGCTTTCTGTTTGGAGCTCTTCTGATTTTTTTTGGTCAGAAGTTATTTTACTTTGGAAGAGATGAGTTTGCTGAGTGATGTCCTGGCTGCCAGGCATCGGGTTTGTCTTCCTCCACTCAGCTAGTTACTGTTTATTCATCCAGCTGCTTTCTGTTTTCTAGCATTGTGTTGCTATTGCCCCCCTCATAATTATCACCGCTGTGTATGTCAATCTCCCCCTGAAATTTCTGGTTGGTAGGTTTTAGTAGGGTGTGGAGATGAACCTACTCATGTGTTCATTTAGCCAGTTTTACTTCAGAACCTTCATATAAAAAGGGTTATAAAACAGCTATTACTAGATATTTTGCAGATGACAAAATATTTTGGCTACATTAGTGTTTTAAGCCTATAACAAGAAATATATATATGTGTGAGTGTATGTATATGTATGTGTACATATATATGTATATATTGTTATAGATTTCTTGTGACTTATATAAGCAACCAACAAGAAATGTTCTCTGAATAAATAAGGCATTTGAAAGTTAAGTGATACATTCAACTATTTTTTGCAAAAAAAGAATAGTATTGACCTGTGGTGAATTTCGAAGGAGAAATTATGCTCCATTGCCTTCAGGATTATCTCAGCCGTCCTCAGCCTCCGAGCTCAGTCAATACCATTTTTGAGCTTCACTCCTTATTGCTGAGCAACCATGAGCTCCCAGACAAGTCAGAATTATGCCAGCGAGGTGGAGGCCACCATCAACTGCCTGGCCAATCTGCATCTGTAGGCCTCCCACACCTACCTCTCTCGGGGCTTCTATTTTGACCATGACAGTGTGACTCTGGAGAGCATGGGCCACTCCTTCCACCAGTTGGTGGAGGAGAAGTGTGCGAGTGCCTAGCGTCTTGATGCTAAACCAGTGTGGTGTCCACGTCCTCTTGCAGGATGTGCAGACTGCTTCCCAAGATGAGTTGGGTAAAATTCAGGACACCATGGAGGCTGCCATGGTTCTGCAGAAGAACCTGAACCAGGCCCTGGGTTCTACCCATGCAAACCCTCATCTCTGTGACTTCCTGGAGAACAAGATCCTGGATGAGGAGGTGAACCCTGACTCACCTCCGCAGGCTGGGTGAATCTCTCATTGAAGGGCTCACCCTCAAGCGCGAGTAGGAGCTTTTGGAGCCCAGAGGCCTTTGAGGGGCCCCTCTGCATCCCCCTGGTGTCTGGCTTCTGCCTGAGCCTCTCCCTGTAACCACTAGGCAGACTTTTAATTTTAACCACCCTGGAGTCCTCTTCCACAATGGACCAAATGGAAACTATAAACTTTTTGCAGTAAAAAGAAAAAAAAGAAATTATAACTGTTATTTAGGTTAAAATTTTTCAAAAATTTCATCCTATATTGCAGTACTCTCTAATCCTCAATAAAACTTAGCTTATATATGGTGTTGGTTAATGATGTGCTTTATACTTGATTACCTTTTGTGGGAACATAATTTGTAGGTTTTTATCTCCCTTCAGTGATTCACAAGTTTATAGAATGTCTTTCTAAGGTTTACCTAAAGAGAATCTCTTAGATATTTTCACACATACTTAATATTTCATTCCTATATGTAGATCTGAATTTCTATCTGGTGTTATTCCCTTCAGCCTGGATCATGGTTTAGCTTTTCTGGTAGCGTGGTAGGTGTAGTGGTGAAAAATTTATTGTTTTCATTATTGGAAAAATCTTTATTTTTGCCTTTACTTTTAAAAGATAGTTTTTGTTGAATATATATATATAGTCTTCTAGTTCGGCAGGAGTTTTCTTTTGTACTTTTAAAAAAATTTTTTATTGTGGTAAAATATACATAACTTAAAGTTTACCGTTTTAACAGTTTTTAAGTTTATAATTCAGTGGTACTAACCAATTCACAGTGTTATATAACTGACATGCATTTCCACAACATTTTCATCCCAAACAGAGATTCTGTACCTATCAAACAAGTACCCATTCTCCTTCTTTGTCAGCCCCTAGTAACCTCTAGTCTATTTTTTTCTCTCTGAATTTGCCTATTCTAGGTATCTCCTATAAGTGGAATCATACTGTTATTGGCATTGGGGTTCTTAGGTTACCCAAGATAGAAATCGAGAGGAAATCCCAGAGAAATTCCCACACAGATTTTATTAAGCTTATGCTCGAGCACAAGGGAGATAGCACAGAAGAAAGGAAGGTCCCCTGAACTGGCTCGGGGTGAGTGGGACTGGCTCTGCTTGGCTTGCTTTTATGTGCTGGGGACAAAGTGGGCTTTCAAGAAAAGGCTGTTTTTTTTTAAAAAGGCAGGCTTGCGGAATTCCCATTTCAGGGTTGGGTGACTTCCTTTTCCAGCTGTGTTGCCCGGCGCAGTGGGGGCAAGATGGCAGACTGCTCATTATTGACACCCTAGGAAGGTCCTATAGCCGTCAAATCTTGATCAACTGTGCGTGCAGGTCAGTTGTTGAAGCAGACAGAAGGGAGATAAAATTAGCTACTTCTGTGTTTTTGAGTGGGAGTGAAGGGGTGGTAATATTTTTTTGGTCAGCTTATCTCAAGTTTCTTCTGACCACCTGATCTTCACTTGGCATCCTGGCCACCTGGCATTTTCTGTGCCCAGGCCCAGGTCCCTGTGCTGTCTCAATACAATATTTGTCCTTTTGTGTCTGGCTTATTTCACTTAGCATAATGTTTTCAGGGTTCATCCATATTGTAGCATGTTTCAGAATTTTGTTCTGTCTTATACGTGAATAATATTCCACTGAATTCTTTTAGCATTGTTAATGATGCTAGTACATTGTCTTCTAGATTACTTTGTTTCTGATTGGAAGTCAGACATTATTTTTAAAATTGTTTCCTTGTATGTGATGTGTTTTCTTTTTTCTCTTACTGTTTTTAAGAGTTATTCCTTTATCTTTGGTTTTCAACATTTAAATGTGATATGCCTAGGTATGGTTTCTTTGTGCCTAGTTTTTACTGTGCCTGTTGAATCTATGGGTTACAGTTTTTAATCAAATTAGGGAAACTTTTGGACAGTATTTCTCCAGATATTTTTTTTGGTTTGTGTCCTGCCTCACTTGTTTCTATGATTTCAGTTCTACTTATATTAAAATATTTGGTACTGCCACTAGTTACTGAGACACTTACTTTTTCAACCTTTTTTCTCTCTCTGCTTTCTGGATTCTCCATAGAAACAGAACCAATAGAAGATCTAGCTATCTCTCGTCTGTCTGCCTATTGGTTTATCTTCCTACCTAAAAAGATTTGTCATAAATAATTGGTGGTTATGGAGGCTGACAAGTCCCAAGATCTTCATGCTCACTCAGGAAGCTGGATTTTCACTCCAAATCCTGAGAACCAGGAGGGCTAGTTGTGTAGTTCCAATATGAAAGCTGACATGTTGGAGACCCAGGAAGAGCCAGTGTTTCAGTTCAAGTACAAAGACAGATAAAAGTCCATGTTCCAGTTTGAAGGCAGTCAGGCAAGAGGAATTCATTCTTTCTTAGGGGAGAGTCCACATTTTAGTTCTCTGAGCACTTTCAACTGATTGGATAAGGTCCGCCTACATTAGGTAGGGTAATCTGCTTTACTCAGGTACCAATTTAAATGTTAATCTCATCCTCATCAAACACACCTTTACAGACATATCCAGAATAGTATTTGGCCAAATATCTGGGTACCCTGTGGCCAAGTCGACACATAAAATTAACCGTTAAACTTTCATTTGTAAGATTCCTGTTGAATTGTCTTAATGTTCAGTGATCTTTTCTTCATCAGTGTCTAATATTAACCTTATGTAATGATTTTTAAAAATATAAACTATTTATTGTGTTTTCAGTTCTAAAGTTCCATTTTTAAAAAATAGTTTGTCTCTCCTGAAATTCCCCATGTCTTCACCCATTATGCCCATTGTTAACATATCTGCCATTGTTATTTTAAAATCCTTGATCACTAATTCTAAAATGTAGGTCATCTGGGTCAATTTCCATTGATAGATTTTTTTTCCCCCCTCTTGGCTCTGGATCAGTTTAGTTGCAGGTCTCGTAATTATTTATATTGCAACTCGGGCACTGTGGATGATACGTTTTAGAGACTATGGCTTTGTTATCTTCCTTTAAATAATGTTGAGTTTTGTCCTAGCCTGTAATTAAGTTATTTGCAGATAACCTTGATGTTGTCACAGCCTGGTTTTAGGCTTTGTTAAAGTGAGCCTATTTCAGTTTTGTTCTTAATCCTAGAGTTGTTTTCTTCATACTAATTTGTAGTATTTATTCCTAAAATATATGTATAATCCTTTCTGAGGTTTCCATGGAAAATCTCAAACTTTAAACTTTGTCTCTTCTACGGTGAGTATTTGCCAAAACTCTGTTGGCATTTTTGCTGTTGTTTTCCTTACTAGACTCTAGGGACCCCTGCAGCCTTGTATGAACATTGTGGTGTTTTTTCATATTTTAATCTAACATTTTTAGTAATATTCTGTAGGAGAATTACTTTGAATAATTCGAATTGTCTGCAATTATCAGAAAATTCTGGTAATCTCTTTAGTGTTATAATCTAATTTGTAATTTCTCTTTTATCCCCTGAATCTAATTGGCTGCTTAAATCTGTATATCATTTTACATTTTTAATTATTTTTTTACTTTTAGAGGCTCTATTTGGTTCTTCTTTAAGTCTTCCTGGTTGTTTTATTATCTTTAGTTCCTTACTTATATTTTCAGTACCATCCTTTTATTTCCGTGAGAATAAACATATTTTATATTCTCTCTGATTATTTCAGTATCTTTGTAGATTTAAGTTGCTTGCTGATATTTGGCAAAGTTTTATTCTTGGTGGTTTATTTCTCATGTTTTGTGAAATTTTTTTAAGCTATGGGCTCATTTTAATTGGAACATAGGAATTCTCTGAAGTCTGGTAAGTTAGGGTGTTTTTTTCCAGGGAGTATTTGCATTTGTGTTTTATGAGTTTTTGAAGTACTGGCACACCAAGATGATTTTTGAGGTTTTTTAAAATTTTATGCCACCCAGGTAATAAGAATTCTTCTCTAACCCTATCTGAAAGCCCTTCTCGGTCATGAAATATCTGGAGGGACTTTCTTCCCTTACATATGAATCCAAGGCTGAGACTTGCCAGTTTCCTATTTCTTTGCATATGGTGGCCTGTCACCCTTTGGGGTTCCTTTCTTTTTTTGTGGGTAATCTACAGTACGTTTCCTCATGCTGCATTGTCCCCAGGTTTCATCTCCTGTCCCTTATGCACAGAGACCTTCAAAAACCAAAGTTTGGTGGTTCACATTAGCAGATACCTCTGGGTAGCATCTACCTTCAGGACTCACTTCACTTGTGTCTCTGGATTTGAACGTTTTCTTACTTCTTTAACCTAAGGCTGTTTCTCTTATTTTCCAACCACTTCAGCATACATTAAAAAGACTTTTTAAACCTTTTATCCAACATTCTTGAGGATTTTATCCTGAGCAGGCTCTTCAGGATATTTCATCTGTCCCATTGCCCTAATATTTATAAAATGTCATTTTTAATGTTTCTTTTATAGGATTCAGTTTAGCTGCATTTAAAAGAAACAAGAGGAAACTAGAGCTGGCAGAAAGGGTGGAAACAGATTTCATTCAACTAAAGAAAAGAAGACAATCAAATGAAAAGGTCAGGAGGTATTTGAAATATTCATCATTAATGTATCATAATGATATCTCTAATTTGCATTTAGATATATAAGCTTTAAAATAGTATGAGCCAGTAGAAATATAATGCATGCCATATACATACTTTTAAAATTTCTAGTAGTTACATTAAAAAAGTAAAAATAAACAGTTGAAATGAATTTTAATAGTTTATTTAAACCAGTGAATCCAAAATATCACTTAAAAATGTAACCAATAAAAAAGTTATTAGTGAGCTATTAAACTTTCTTTTTTGTATTAAGTCTTCCAAGCCAGTATGTATTTTAATCTTCCAGCACATCTTAATTATGATGCTGAATTTTCATTGTAAATATTTGGTCTGTATTTGTATTTCATAAAAATAACAGTCGAAAAAGTAGTTTACATAACAAGTTTTTCCAAACATACTTAAAACTTTCCAGTAATTGAATTGGGTATGTTTTAAAATTAAAATTAATTAAACTCTAATAAAATTAAAAATTCAGTATCTCATTTGCCCTCATTGCATTTTAAGTGGTCAGTAGCTACATGTGGTTGATGGCTACTGATTTGGGCCTTGCAGCTTTAGATAGTGATTCTTAACATGGCTGTTTGGGGGTAGAGTATGTTATAAAGAAATGCGTATATAGGGTTCATGTAGGTTTTTTTTTATACATTCTAATTACAGGTCCCTGTTTCTCATTGTTACACATTCTTTGTTTGCATTTCATGCATTTGTATGCCATCATGAGTCCATGTGTGGCATTTCTTAGGTGTTGGGGGGGTAGAAAAAAGTTGAAAACTGCAGCATTCTTGTTCAGTCTATGGCTGGGGGTTCATTAGCACACAGTTCATGATGGGTGTCTCATGTCACAGTCATTTGATGTGCTTTGGCATCTTACTCATACTGCTTTCTATCATAGTTTTACATAACAAGTGATTTACTCATATATATGCATAATAAATCATCTTTCATAGTGACATATTTTTCCAGTGTGTCAATTAATAAAAAATTTTGGTTCAAATCTTTAGATTTTTCTGCCAGAGAAAAGTAGGAATTTAGAAGGAAAATGAACATTTTAATAAGTAGATCTTGGTGAAAGTGACTAACAGTGTGCTTCTGTTCCTTGCATCCCCTGTGATATCTCAGTGAGAAAATTTAGTACTTTTGTTCTTTTAAAAATTTGTGATAAAGTTTGCATACAACTAGCAACTTAATCATTTCTATAAATGTATATCCCCATGTAACCCATATACCTATCAAGATGTAGAACATTCTGGTTCCTCTATACTTCCTCCCAGCCAATCATAACTTCCCTACTTCTCTTCTTGCCTCCGCTTTCATAGCAGCCCCAAAGAACTTTGTAAAATGTGGATGAGATAGCACTGCATGTCTGCTTTTGTCTCCTCGATGGCTGCTCATTATGGTGTGATATAGAGTAACTTAGATGTCAGAGATGGAAGGAAGTCTCAAAGAAAATCAGTTAGGATGATCATCAGGATGATCCATAGAGATCTCTCTGAGGGCATATAACATTTGAGGTGACATCTGAAAAATAAGTGAACTTATGCAGTCAGTGGAATAGTGTTCCAGGAAGAATGAGCTGCATGTGCAGTGGCCCTGGTGGGGATTTGGCATATTAGAGGAATGGGGAAGAGGGTCAGTGTGCCTAAAGTGGGGTGGGCAAGGGGAGAATGGTATGAGATGAAGGTGGAGAGGAAGGTGGGTGCTAGCTCCTTTAAGACCTGGTAGGTCAGGGTAAGGCAGATATCAGCTGGGAGATGATGACAACTTGGATGGTGGATGATGGGGATGAAGGGAAAGAAGTGAACGTATCTCCCCTCTCAGGGGAGAAAAGGTCAGGGGTGAGGTCCTTGTTTTGCCAGTTTTGCCCCTTACTAGGTACCTGGGGCTTTCTCCTCTGGTGACCTTCTATACCTGGCCCACCTTCCTTGCTCTGCTCATGTTTGTCTAACTGCCTACCACAGAGTATTCCAGATATCTTAAGTGAAAGGAAAATATTTTTTATAGTCAGAACACATGAACTGTAATGCCTACAAAACTATGTGTGTGACATTAGCCTACAAAAGTGACTAGGATCTAGCCTCTTCCCTTAGGGAAGGATGCTGGCCAGAGGCTTTGTTTTATAGGTGTATATGTATCCTTGGCAGGCCTTGCCTCTTATAGTAAAGATAATAAAACATGCTCCCAGAAAGAAAAGACCACCAGATAATGAACCAATTGGGCAAACATAGAGATCTGACAGGACAGGACAAATAGCTATTTTCCAAATCAACCTATATTTAGTTTCTGCCTGTCCTGTCTGTGTAGTTTCAGCATAGTTTTGCTTAGCCAGAGGCCTGGTGCTACTGTTTGTTGTGGCTGCGTAAAAGAAGCTGTGATTTGGGTATATAAATATAATAAAAAAGATACAGTGTTTGGTAACTTTCCTAATGCTCACATTTTATTAGTGTTGAATGAGATAAATATTGTCTTGAAGGGAGGCTACAGTAGAATAAGTCAGTATTTTAAATTTTTGTTGCATTTATATTTCTTGATTTTTTTTGAAAAAGTAATTGTTTGGACATCATAATAGCACTAATAGAAATCAAAATTAATTCAAGAAAAATATTTAATCAGCTTGCTACCTCAATAAATTAGAGTGCTTTTGTTTTCTTAGTCTTTGACATTGACGTTGACGTTTGACTTAGTTTAAAGCAAGAATGGTTAATCCATGGAATGCTTTTAGCTGCAAATAGTTGAAAACCTGACTGTGGCTTAGGTAATAGACATTTCCCCCCTGCTTCCTGGCCCTGTGCCACACAATAAAAAATTTGGTGGTGGGTTGGTTGCTGGCATTAGCTTAGATTTCCAATGATTCTAAGACCAACATATCTGGGATTCTCTTGGGCCTTTCTCTCATGCCTTTTGCTTTACGGATATGGCATGTTTCATGGCTCCTTAAACTTTAGATGTCACGTCTGCATTCAAGGTGAGAAGGAGAGAGTAGACAGTGGGCGTGGGAGACTAGTGTCAGATATATCTGTCACTTTTTTCCTGGGATGCAAGTTTTTCAGAATCTCCCTCAATAGGCTTCTCCATATTTTGCGGGGAGTAGTGGAGAAGGGGCACAATTCTGTCACACAATTCCTGGCTGCAAGGGAGCCTAGGAAATTGAGTAGATTGCTTTAAGTAGTATCTCATAGCTCATGGCTTGCTGCTGGACTCATTGTCTTCCCAAACAAAACAGTGGTTTTGCTGTCAGAGGACGAGGTTCTCAGGAAGGTAATTCGTAGTGTGTAGCATAGATGGAGAAAGTCCTCGTCATCTCCCTCCCGCAATTAGCATGTCCCTGGTTACTACAGACCAGCATTGGGTTAAGCAGCTAATCTACACACAGATAAAAAAAAAACATTTTGTTTTGACTTTTAGGATAAATGGATTTTAAGACATAATATTAAAAAATGAGGAAGATAAGTTTTTAGTAGTTGTCTGTTCTTAGTAACTGGCATCTGTTTCATCCGTGCTTTTTGTGACTGAAGGGGAAGACGTGCTGGAGAAGGAAAGGCGACTATCGTGTAATATAAAAATAGTAGCTGTTTGCTCTCCGTTCTGCTGCCCTCTCTGGGCAGATCCAACTCTTCTGGATTTTTCTTTTACCCCATTGTTTCCCTTATGATGTACAAACAGTTCTTACTTTGCATAGCAGCGTCGGACCGTAAAGTGACTGGACAAGCTGCAACTCTGCAAAGGGTCCTAATGGCCAAAAATTATGCTGTTCCATGACCTTTATTTTGTCAAAACATTAAAAACTCTCACTGCTGGTTATCAATGCATAGAGAAACAAACAAAGATAAGTAAAACTAGTATTTATTTAGTACATTAATTTATAACATTAGAAGCGTTAAGAAATGAAGTGTTTTATTCCTGTTACCAAGGGTAGATTTGAACAGTGCCAACTTTCCTGTCGCCTGACGGGTGACACAGAACGAGCGTCTTGTTGTCACGGCGCATCTTCAAAGCCCTTTGTGACTTTGCACCAGCTTTCAGCATTTCATCCTTTGCTTTTTGCGTGTCGTAAAATATCTTCCAGAGTTTTTTAATGCCAAGTTTTTTGCCAGTGCCTCTTCCTCTGGGACGTTTTCATTTTCTTGGTCACAACTGCATTTCTTATTATGCTGGTCCGTCTGTCTTCACTAAGTTCCTGTGACTGTTGGCCCAGAGTCTCTTGAGTGGTAGCAGTATTGAGCATTCCCACGGCCACGCCTTTCTTCTATAGCTTTCTATATTTTTTATTAAATTTCACTTCCAACATTATCACTTTTTGTTCCTTTGCTTCGCTTTCATCTTTCTTGGCCATTTTCCTCTTTTGATTATCAAGTTCTGTGGCCATGTGGATTGATCCTGGGAGACCAGAGGCAGCACAGCTACATGCTTTGCTGTGTGTTCAGTGACCTAGCGCTGGTCTTGATGACTAGCAATCTGTGAGCTGAAGAGCTAGCAGCGAAGCTTGTGCTTTATGCAGTCACTCATAGTTAATATACCATGGTAACTGAAATTTAAACCATGTTGCTGAGTGACTGCTGTTATTTAACTAAACTATGGTAACTAAAATTCACCTAGATTGGAATTAGGCAAAGTGAGGGCTGTGTTTCTGTAAAGGAACCAGAACTATTTGTCCTGTGCTTTTCTGAGTGTTGCTGATCACATGACATGATGCAATTCACATGCTCCTCTGTCGTTTATAATTCCTGCAAATTGGCCTCTGAGTCTCCCCTGGCAGTATTGCCGTGGACTGTCATTGTTTTTAGGACATTTTTCAATAGTTGTTGTGCTGTATGTGGTAAAATGATGGCATGTTTAAATTTATTTATTTTTTGCTTTGTTTTGATACATAAACAAAACAGTAGTTGTGTTGGTGTTAATCTTTATCATATTCAAATAATGAAACCTTTCTTTTGGAATGAAGTGGTTAACTTATTGGCCACTTGCTGTTCTTGGCT